TTGACCTGTTAGTACAAACAGTGGCTAAACCAACATGAAATATTATCAACATCCATATAACAATACAAATACACGTCATGGATATAAACATAGGTTATTCATAGCCTCTAAATCAGATGGACAATCAGTCAAAAGTCGACCAACTTTATTTAAAACATTTCTGTTAGGGATTATAGTTGTCAACTCTAACCTGAACTTCTTTTTATGTTGTGTGCTTAACCTCTACTTATTTAATGTTAATGAATATATATTTTACCTTTGAATGTTTGTCTAAACTTATGTTTGTTTTACACAATGGTACTTTGAGGAACATATTGTATTGGGGAGAGCATGAGGACTCCTGTTTTGGGTCATTTTGGTGCTAATTGCTGAACTGTGTCCAGAGGAATTTAAATGACAGGGTGCGGCGATTCAACACATGCTCATTAGAAGTCGCCAAAGGAACTGTTATCAGGCTGTTGAAAGAGCTCATTGTCAACACAGAGAAGCCTGGTAGTACATAATAGAATTCATATAAGATGGCTAATTGTTTGTATTATTTTGTATTTCACAATGGACAAATAATATTGTAAACAGTGTGTTGCAGACATTTTGGGGCCGTTATTAATTTAAGCAATAAAACATTAGCAGGGAAAAAAGGAAAAGAGCCACATAAACTGGCAGAATGCATTTATCATAGAGCATAGTATGAAAGAGTTCTTTTAGGGTAATATTGTAGCATTCTGGTATTGTTTGAATGTGTGTCATGTCTGCAGGAATTTAATCAACTATAGAATAAGGCAGGGCACTAGTAATATAAGAGTCACTGTTTTATATTCATGTGTATATATTTCATTTACTGACGTTCAAGCTGTAACGTTAAGCTTTTTGCTGCTAAAATAGTGTAAATTAAAATAGTGAAATCTATCAGTATTATTTTCTTTTTTCACAGTCCACGTTTGAGAAAACATCAGTCTAGATTTAAATGATCTTGCCTTTTAAATGATTATTGTTCAACCTTTAAAAATATGTATTGTATACTTGGAAACTTGGACATACATTTGAATTGGTTTGAATTAGGGAGTGGGAGTTTTCATTCTGTAAGGTATTTACACTGTCAGTGCATTTCCTGAAGCAGAGGTTTTGTGTACATTCATCTCCAGACTGTGACCTGAGAATGTGTTTAATAATTAGGACAATATCTCAAGTGTTTTTCACAAACATGTGAGAGGAAAACCCCCGGAGTGCTGAGTTTGGATAAGGATGGAACAGTAATAGATAAACTTGGCACTTTGAACCAAACACCACCAGAAAGAGTCAATTCATTTTCTAAGGAAGAAGCATATTAGTCGGCTTCCTGAGCATTACTTTGAGTTTACTAACATGTGAACAGAAACTCTGGACATCCTGGCATGGATCAGATCCCAGATTTGATTTTGTATCTACTGATAACATTTATAATGTTTTAAAATTGTTTTAAAAGAGCAGTTGTGCTGATTTATTTTGGTATATGACCAGGGGCGGCGCCAGGCGGTAGCTTGCAGTTGCTACAGCAACACCAACAATTGGCCTAGCAACTGCTAAGCAACCCCAAGAAATGTATGGGTTGTTTTATACATGTGAAATTCATCATTTGAAAAATGATTGATTTGAAATTGATATGCTGCTACAGTTCAAGTAGCCTACTTCTGGGCGTTTCATTCAAGCTCGTGTGTGTGGCACTAGTGCCACACACACAGTGGGTCTCAAAACAGTTTGATCACCATTTATGTAAACAAGTGTTTCCGAGGCACACCTTCATATGATCATTATAGTTAGGCTATAAAACAATAAGAGCATGAATGAAAAACAGTTATGAAATAGCTTACTACATGATAGTAAAATAAGAATACAGTTTAAAAGGGGAGTGATTAGTAAAATATCCATAAAGAAAAATTAAATCTGATTACAGTTCTGTTTCTTATGGGTGTTGAGAGATGTATCCAATAAAAAAAAAAGAGCATGCCCCCCTAGGGGGGGTGGCAGGGGGGGCCAGTGCCCCCTAACACTGACCTCTGACCCCCCTGTGGCCCCCCCTAACAATTTTTTAATGTATATTTTCTGGTACTCGGTTTGCCAAAAACCGCAGGATTTTGTTGCTGTAATGTGAGATTGTGCAGACACCCTTATGTAAAGTAGAGATGTAACTGTTCATTGCCTTTATTTTTATATAAATATGGTGTTAGTGCAAACATTGCACTATAACTTAAGCTGAAGCTAACAGTAATAACTATAAGATCTATCTGAAATAAATAAGTATACTGAAACAAATACCAATAACTGTATTGCATTGTTTTCTTATGCGCAATTACTTCATACTGTCTAGTTCTCTTTTTCGTCCTGCATTTATTGTGCCCCCCTCAGAAAATAACTGGCCCCCCAGTGGCCCCCCCAGTCAAATTGGTCTAGAACCGCCACTGCCCCCCGGACCCGCCTCCTTTTTAACTTGTAAAAAATAGCACTTTATCCTTCCTACTGTATATGCCGTGAGCTGATTATCGAGCCTTCATTGTAACAGTCGCGGGTGTAGCCCATAGCTACCTTAATGGGAAACCCTACATGTTGGAGCAACCTCGATGAAGCGGCAAGCTACCCCACAGCACCCCCAACAGAAAATCTCTGGCGCTGCCCATGTATATGACGGATAAATTAGCTAAAAATATCCCAAAAAATACAGATGTACTGATTAATCTTTGTTTAATGTACCTTGAATGGTTAATTTTAGTGTTTTTGAAACCTTGCCTGAAGTCTTAAGTCACTGTGAAATGTGAAGTCACTTTTCTCTTAAACTATTACCCAGTGTAGCAGGATTAACGTGTTTGTTGTCTTTTTCAGAGTTTTGGGGGAATGTGGTAGTTATCCTTGTTGTCATGGGAATGCTACATGATTACACAACATCATTATCATTATGTATGACATCTAACCTGGCATTACATTTACAAAAAACAAATGCTTCAGAGACAGAGCTGTGGTCCTATTGGCTGCAGGTACTGTATATAATCAGTTTTCTTGTTATGTATGTTGTCAGACAGCAGAGGTTGTTTGAGGTGATGCTTTTGAGTTTTAAAGTTCTGTCTGCAGACCTCATCCTCATGTTTTAGAGCTCCCTAAGGATCTTGTGTAAACTTCCGCCAAAGTTTTGTCCTCCAAACGAGCGGCTGTATGAAGATTTTGAGCAGCTCTGAATGTTGGGACATCCGGCAAACATCTGCTGTCTGAATTATGTGTGTGAAGGGTGTGTGTGTGTGTGTGTGTGTGTGAGTGTGTGTGTGTGTGTTTTTTTCTACGTCTCGTTTGACAGATTTTGAGCATAAACAGTATTTAGACTCACTCACAACTGGAAACCAATGAGTTGTGACAACACTTGGACTCAAGTGTTTTGACTTCAAAACACTTGATAGCTTCTGCCAATCCCAACGACTGGAACATGTGTTATTCAAGTGTGCCATTGTCCCTGCTTTATTGAATGAATACACTTAATGCTAGTCATTCCAAGGAGGTCCGCACTTGATTTCCCAGAATCCACTTTGTTTGAACTGACCACACCTGATTAGAGTTGCAGAAGAAAACCATGAAGAACTAATGTGGTGTTCCTGAGTGCCAGATGGAGACAATCAAACCAAAGATTGTGAGTGCACAAGAATCCTGCGATGGTCGAGGAAAAACTAGCTGCATGTTCTAAAATGTGTGGGTCAAACTTCAGGATACTGTACAGTGTACTTTAATATAGTATGGTATAGTAATGTTAAGTATAGTTTAGTATTGTATAGTAGAGTAGAGTAGAGTAGTGTAGTCTAGTGAAGTATAGTATGGTATGTATGGTATAGTAGAGTGTAGTGAATTATAGTGTAGTGTACTGTAGTATCATATAGTAGAGCAGTGATTCTCAAATGGGGGTACACGGACCCCTAGGGGTACGTTGGGGTACTGCAGGGGGTACGTGAGGTTAAAAATAAATAAAAAGGTTAATTAAAAAAATACCATGCATGATTACAAAAATAATCTTAATACAATAAGTTAAATAGAAAACACAATTTTATATAAAATATTCCTAGAACCTAGGTCCTCATATAAACATGTTACATGTGTGTATTGTATTTATAGTTTTTAATAATATATCATTTTGTTAATTGGTTTGTTAAACATATTGAAAAACTAATTGAAAACATCTTTTTTTTCATGCATAAAGATGAAAATATCCTTAGTTTGTTGTAATTCATGCATGAAGGAGTTAATAAATCACACACTGATGGAACATCACTATATTGTAATTATTTATATAGGCTTTTTCTATCAAAAATGTCCGGGGTCGGTCAGGGGGTGAGAAAATGTTTCAAAGGGGGTACATTACTGAAAAAGCTTTGAGAAGCACTGTAGTAGAGTATCATTTAGTATAGTAAAGTATAGTAAAGTTAAGTGTAGTTTAGTATATCATCACAGTATAGTATAGTAGAGTAGAGTATCGTAGAGTGTAGTAAAGTAAAGTATTGTATAGTAGAGCGTTGCATAGGGTAGTAACATATAGTATAGTATAATGTTTTATAGTATAGTCTCGTAGAGTATAAAATAGTATAGTATATTAAAGTATTGTATTGTTAGTAGTAGTGCAGTTTAGTCTTGCAGTTGTTGAGTGTAGTGTAGCATTGTAGTATAGTATCGTTAGTTTACAGTATATTATGATATGGTATTGTAGTGTAGTATATTAGAGTATAGAGAACAGTTTTAGAAGGAATGTGTATGGGGAGGATGTGGCGCAGTGGGCTAGTGCGTTGGTGTTGGGACCAGGGGGTCACAGGTTCAAACCCCACTGCAGTCAGCATGTCGTTGTGTCCCTGAGACACTTCACCCCACATTGCTCCTGGGGATTGCCCACAGACAAGTCTGACAAGTGTCATGTAATGTAATGTGTGCAAACAAAGTCATAATGCAAATAAATAGGCGCAGTGACTGATCCAGAGTGTGATTGGATCACGTGTGTGTACCTGGCTGCTGAAGGTCAGGTGGTAGGTGTCATACTGGACGTGGGGGGGGTTCCAGAACAGAGTGACATCTGTCTCTGAGATGTCCCTGGTGCTCAGCTGAGAGACCCCCGACATGGCTGCAGAACATAAATACAAATATAATGTTAGTACAGCAGGCAAATACTCCACTTCATATCTGTGTTCAATCAAGTACACAATCATATCTGTGCTTTATAAAAGTTTTACAATTTCCACTTGTGACCAGTTTGGTCCAGGTTCTGATCATTTCACCAACATGTGGCTAAATACTTTCAATGCAGTTACCCTGTCAGTCTCACAGTAACCCCTTGTTACTGCATTGGCTATAGCTGATACATCCCAGCTCTGTCATTGGCTGGGGAAAAGGCAAATACATTAATGATGATGTATTATTATAGATTGATAGAATGTTATGCTATGTTATGCTCTATGGATTGTCATGCTTCAGAACACAAAGCCCAGACGGGAACATGTGCAGCTGATGCATGACTTCATACAGTAAAGCACACTCGATAATAATTCACAGGTTTGCTTTACTGCACCAGTTTCTCATAAAGTTGGTGCTGAAAAATGCACTGCTCAGCGAGAGCCTGACGTCATATTTCCTGTAACCAGTTACGCAGACCCAACATGCGCTTCATATACAGAGTCATGAGGCCACGACCACATTCACACATGCGTTTCATTGCATCTTCTTTGCATTCAATTCCTGCAAAAGTTTCTAAACACAAGTTTTTTTACTTCAACTACTTTTATAGGAAGATTTGGAGATGCTGAATCCTGTCGGGGCATTTCATTGCTGCACCTGAACAAGTATGTGTTTAGCATTTGGTCTTGCTGAGGTCATATCCTGTGTTTAAACTACCTGTGGATGCTTACAGTAACAAAAAGAAAAGTGCACAGCAATGGGAGGGGCTGAGTGTGTGGGGGGTAATCATATCATTTACTTCAGTGCAAGCACATTGTGGAAAGACTAAAAGTAAAAGTACTGCATCAAAATCTAAGTAAAGTATCCCAATATTATCAGCAAAATGAACGCAAGTTAAAGTATTTATTGTGTAGTAAAAGTACTGTTGCATCACTTCCTTCCTATCTATACTTTTAAGCAGCAGTGGAAGAAGGACTGAGATCGTTTACTTTAAAAGTATCAGTAAAAAAACTGTAAATGCAAGTTTGATCAGCAACATGTAATAAAAAAGTGTTTTGCTTGTTCCGTAAAGCGATCACTGCCAGTGTTTTAATATTATATAAGATGACAAAATAAGATGTATTTGCATTACTGCTGCATTAAAGTTGATGTTGCATTGTACTGCTGTAGATGCTTATTTTAACTCCTTTATTTATTGTTGGGTATATTTAGAGCAATGGATCATATTCAATAAAATCATTTGTTTGTAGCTTTGCAATGTCGTTTTTGAACTGATTCAAGAGTCTTGTTGAAATGTTCATTTAGCTTGAGAAGTAGGATCATTTTAACAAACAAAGGAACACTTTATCCTTTAAAGATTCAAAATTCTAATAAAAAAAACACATTGAGAGATTTCAAATTGTAATTTGAACTGTAAGTAAAGCTGCCAGACAAATGTAGTGTACTAAAAAGTACAATATAAACATCTCCTATGTAGTGGAGTAGAAGTGTAGAAGTTTAGAGTGGGAATACTCAGGAAAGTACAGGTTATATGTAACTCACATGTATCACACCTATAGAACACACTACAGGAAAGCATTATGGCCTATTTAATATGGATGCATGACGTTTGGGGAGGTTAAAAAATAGGGTTGGGAACTGCTGAACTACATAATCCTCTCAGGAATAACCACATGTCTCTTCTGCCTTTAGAGTGAATCATTAACCTTGGATTGAAGACAAATTGTTTCCAGAGAACATCTATCAAAATTGCGCCATATTCCCCTGATTATAAAACAAATGATTTAAAGCATTTTATTGCCAGAATGTTGCTCATGACAGACAGGCCCAATATGGATTAATTTCCTTGCCACTTGCATGCGTGTGTGTGTGTGTGTGTGTGTGTGTGTGTGTGTGTGTGTGTGTGTGTGTGTGTGTGTGTGTGTGTGTGTGTGTGTGTGTGTGTGTGTGTGTGTGTGTAGACAGGTGTTAATGTAACCAGTTCAAATCATAGCTACATGTAAATACAGTCTTGATACTAGATGCATTTACAATATTTAAGGTGTATAAAGAGGGCTTGAACAGTCAAATGCATATTAATATTTGATCCAAATGCGGGAAAAAATGGTTATACAAACAACACATTAATTCCAGGTGTAAATGGAGACTCCCTCTAATACCCCTTTTCCATCGAAGCAGTGCCAGGGCTGGTTCAGAACCAGTTTTTCTGTATTTCTACTGAAGTGGCACCAGCTCTCTGCCTCGAATTTTGTTCTCCCATTTGGAACCAGAAATCTGCTGGGCTGGAACCATACTTGCCAACACTCCCGATTTCATTGCCCTCTCCCGGTTTCCTCCCGGGGTCATATTTCTCCCGCATTTCTCCCGATTTCTGACAAATCAGTGTTTCCACTCGGACTTTAATACTGCTACACCATTGTTTGGTTTCCATAGTAGCGCATCTCTTTAGTAGCGCGCGCAACTGAAAGTCTGAGAGGGTGAGAAAGATAGTCACAGAAAACAGAACAAGAATCGAGCCCACACATATGCTCCATCAAGGATGGTGCTACATGCCACGAGGCAGTGCACTTACAACTACAGTAAGCATGATAGTGTTAATCTAATACAGCTCTGGCAATCCACTAGCACCCCCCCCCCCCCCCCTGGTTTTGGAAATGCTCCCGATCTCAAGGTTGGCAAGTATGGCTGGAACCCAGAGCCACGCACTCGGATCCGGATAAGAGGTTTAAGTTGGAGTCTTTCAACAATTTAATCTGGTTTCTTAAGTTTAAGAAAAACATGAGCACAGCTCCTACGCAGTCTGCCATTGTTAAAAAGTAAATGATGTAATGCACAGCAAACTGGTTTCGCAGTTGGTTTAACCTGCCAACCAACTGCGAAAACCAACTGCGAAGCAAACTAGCACCAGCCGAGAACTACAACGGAACTCACTCCAGTGGAAAAGGGGTGTAAATGACACAGTTCTTTAGTCTCAATTAGTGATTCTAAAATGCATTGGCTCTGACTCACCGGTATCACAGTTGGGTCCAGTCATGCCGTCTTCACACTGGCTGCAGTCCGGCCCTTTGAACCCTCGGCGGCAGACACACCTCCCTTTGACGCAGCGCCCCTTGCTGTTGCAGTTACCAGGGCAACCTTTGGCGCCGCAGTCCTGCCCGGCGAAGCCCACCTCGCAGACACACTTCCCGTTGACGCACTTCCCGCGGTTGCTGCAGTTATTGGGACAAGCTTTTTCAGAGCAGTCCGATCCGGTGAAACCGTCATCGCAGACGCACTGTCCGTTAACGCAGCGCCCCCTACTGTTGCAGTTTCCTGGGCAGGACACCTGCGAGCAGTCTTCTCCGGTGAAACCGCTTTCGCACTCACACCTTCCGTCCACGCACTTGCCGCGATCGGTGCAGTCGTTCGGGCAAGTTATTTCGAGGCAGTCCGGGCCGCCAAATCCTTCATCGCAGACGCACTCTCCGTTGACACAGCGCCCCCTATTGTTGCAGTTTCCAGGACAGGACTCGTCCGAGCAGCTGGGACCGGTGAATCCGCTTTCGCACTCACATTGACCGTTCACACACCTCCCACGGTTGTTGCAGTTATCAGGACATGATCTTTTGGAACAATCTGGTCCGGTGAACCCGGGGTTACACACACACTGTCCGTTCATGCAGCGCCCCTTGTTGTTGCAGTTTCCTGGGCATGAGTTCTCAGAGCAGTCCGCACCGGTGAACCCGCTGTCACACACACATTTACCGTTCACACACCGACCTCGGTCACTGCAGTTGTCCGGACAAGCCCTCTGGGAGCAGTCCGGGCCGGTAAACCCAGGGTTGCACAGACACTGTCCATTGACGCAGCGGCCCTTGTTGTTGCAGTTTCCGGGACAGGATTGGTCTGAGCAGCTGGGACCGGAGAAGCCTTCACTGCACACACACTTGCCGTTCACACACTGGCCCTGGTTGTTGCAGTTGCCCGGACAGGCGTTCTCAGAGCAGTCGGGGCCGGTGAAGCCAGGGTCGCACACACACTGTCCGTTGATGCACCGGCCTTTGTCGTTGCAGTTTCCAGGACAGTCGGACTCGCTGCAGTCCGGTCCGCTGAAGCCAGGGAAGCAGACACACTTCCCGTCCACACAGCGACCCTGATCACTGCACTCGTTGGGACACTCGTCCGTTTCCGTTTTAATGGAGCAGCCTGCACCTGAAGCAGAGAAGGACATACAAATTAAATAAACAACGGAAATCACATACAGATGCCTCCAACTACTAAAAGGATTTTTAAATGCTAGCCTTCTTAGTTTTGGCAAAACTCTTTTGACATTGTTCTGCTTTACTCTGTATATACTACCCACATACTTTTATGAAAGTGTACTGCTGCTACATAAGAAAAACAAAAATGCATCAGAATCTTGGTATATCGTTAAAAGTGTATTGATTTTCAGAAGGTTTTCTTGTTATGACAAAAACTGTTTTAAGTTATAATGAGATAAGTATTTCCCAGGCAGAGGTGCAAAAAGTAAGTAAGTCCTATTATAATGTAAAAAAACATTATGTCTTATAACACTAAAGCCACAGTTTAACATTTTACCGCCATAGGCACTTGTCTTTTGTTTCAGCAGCAAAAAGATGTGGCTGTGTATTGTTCAGTCAGATGTAGATGGAAGAGTAAATGGCAAATATGTCTAATCAGGAGACCTATACTGTGCATCTGTGTCCACTTCTCATATATGTTGAGACTTCTTCCATTGTGCAAGTCTTTTTTGTTGTTGTGTTTTTTGCATGAAATAACATATCTATTACATCTGCAACACACTGTCAAACATGTCTTGAATTATTCAGAAGAGAGTCCTCTTCCTCCTCAGTATTTGATGGTGGGAGGTGGAGGCCTAATCCTCCGTCATTAGAGCGTAACGTGGCCTGGCTTTGACTAATTAGAGGAGGGGAGCTGCTCTGGACTGGGAGGAGATGGAGACTGAGATCACACTGGGCAGAGAGCAGAGGACACACACACACACACACACACACACACACACACACACACACACACACAAACACCGACACACACACAATTAGCTCATGCTTTGAGCTTTGCCAGTTTCTAATGGGCTCAGTCTTGAGGTCAGCTCCACTTTACCAAGGAACTTGGTGACGAACTGAATATAAAATGGTCAAAGATGGTTAAACTGTGATGGATCTAATAAGTACAAATACTCAAGTGCTGTTCTTGCTGTCACTAAATATGGAGGTAAAGGTACTTTATATTTCCACCCCACAAATGTTAGAAATTAGTTATTTTGTTATTTGATGATATTGATCCCACTGTAGCTGTTTTTCATATTTATCTCCAAGGAAGTTATGTTTGTGTTTATTGAGTTTTATGAAACCTGTTGGAAGAGCGAGCCAAGGCAGAACCTCTTACATTTTGAGACCATTACAGGGCGGATACACAAATGGTTAAACTTTGTCAACATTTGAGAAGGGATATTTATTAGATCTTTTAGTTGATCATTGAATATTTTGTTGTTGGATTCAATGATGGTTTCAGTTTATTTCGTGCAAGTAGGGTTGAGTTGAGTTCAACTCATTATTAATTAATTATTCTGGTATGAATCAGGAATCATTGGGTCATACGTCATGATGGAAGCTGTTTTTTATGTGTTAACCTATTCTGGTAAGGTTTGTGCTCACCATAAAATAAAGAAAAAAGATGGAACAAACGGTATGAATGTGTAACTACATGCTCAGAAAAGTTAACATCTTTAAAACTATTTTAATACATGATAAATTGTCAACCGTCGGCTGCAGAAGGGTTGTGTGTGAGTATGTGTGTGCCTGTGTGTGTTGCATAACGAGTCAGTGGAACAGGAGGAGCAGCTACAGGCAGAAACAGTGAAGTAATATGAACTCATGCGATTGGCCGAAACAAAGACATGTGCAGGGCAAATTGTGACTGAATGTGACGAGGAGTTGGAGCAGGGAGAGATGAAAGCTGGGAAATATATAGACTGTGAACTCTGAGTCAGACTTGTATATGTTCAGTATGAGTCATACCCTACATCTGCTGATTTATGGTTTAACAGTTGTTATTCTGAGGAAACACTTTAAAGTATAATGATACAATACATTTGAAATGGGCAGTCCAGAATCATTGAACTTTTTGTTCATTTCATTAATAACCTTCCTGTATACAAATCCTTAGTGCATTTCATCACATTACCAGCTACTTGATTATGGTTTTGTAACATTTCACTTTTATTTTAGCGCCACCTTAAGGCCAAACTTGTAACTTGCACAAAATTAATCAAATGTAGCAGAATATCTTTATGAAGTCTAAACTGACCAACTCTTCTTGGAATGCACTTTTAATTAACAAAGACAATGATATGAATTACTAGAGAATGCAATTCCTGAAGAAATTGCTAGTGGGAATGATTTATGCTGAAAAGCTGATGCTGAATTGCTCTGCTGAAATGTAATGTGTCAGAAGAAAGTGAAGAATTTAGATTGAAATGATACATGAACACTGGGGGCTTGAATGTGTGATGAGAGAAGAAAAGAAAGTAAAAAGGCTTGGAAAAGCAGCAGAATATTTGAACAGCAAACTTTTGAACTAACTTGATGGTGAATGATCTGTCGCAATGCCAACGGCATTTGATGACATCCCATAATACGCTTAGATGCATTGATGGCTGCATCGTTACCAAACCTGTGAAGTTTTGGGCCGTTTGGAGCATTTTCACTGAAGTTATGAGAAAACCGTGTTTCATGGTGAGCATTGTGTTGCCATGGCAACGACATTTGAAGAAATCTCAAAATTGTCCCGTAGATGTCTTCACGGCTGGACTGTTAGCACACGTGAAGTTTGAGCACTTTTTGAACATTTTCATAGGAGTTATACATTACATTAGGAGCATAGGCGGCGCGTGAGGCTCAGGTTTGGGAAGGCTAAATAACTTTTTTTACCTGACGCTGCCCGCCTTCGGCATCTATAGAAAAGAGATAAACTCAGTGAAAGCACTGCCTGCTGACTAATCAGAGCTCAGTGTGCGGAGTTTAAATCTATCAAGTCATATTACAGGATAAAGGAAATACAGTTTAAACTGCCGTATGCAGAGAAGACGGCGACGTGTCACACTTATCATTCATATCACATCATCAATCAGATCATCGATCATATAATATCATAATATATAATATATTTCCTTATCTGAGTCAGCTTCTCGAGACGTATCTGGCCGTGCAACACTCACATTGTCACATACTGTATGCAGAAGTATTAGTTTAAGCAACACATTAGGTTGACGAAACACTCAACTCAAATGTAATTAAAGTCAGATCACTCGTGTCTTAGATGGAGCAGTGATATCATAAACCTGTTGTATGCTTTCAAACACTCGGTAGTTTATTTATTTTTTAACCAGTTGTTCTATATTCACCTTGCAGGTGATGCAATGTGGCTATGTGGCTTGTATCCTGGATTATATGTTTAAATCATGGATGTTTAAAGTTCATATTTGTATAATATTATTTTACTTTTCATTAATGAAGTATGACACTGCGCTGTCAGTACACTTGTCCCTGTTTGTGATTGGTCAAATGTTGCTAACCCCGCCCTTTTCACGTGAACGCGCTCTCAGCTGGAGAGAGAAACCCTGGCTTGATTTACCGAGTTGATAACCAGCGTCGTAGGACCGCTTAGCGAGATCTCGTTTGTTAGGGTTAGTTAAGATAACTCAAACATATCCAGGGTCTGTTGAACTGGCTTCGTAGAACAGGGCACAGGTGGCTGCATAGCAGCGCTAATGTCAAAGACACAAACATTATACATTACATTTTTATTTTACCAGAATGCAGTGACAAAAATATTTTGGAAGGCTTAGCCTTCCCTAGCCTACAGAACCCGCCACCCCTGATTCGGAGGTTACATTACTCTCTCTCTTCTCTTGATCGCCCTCTCTCTTCTCTTGATCACCCTCTCAATCTTTTATCGCCCTCTCTCTCTTCTCTTGATCGCCCTCTCTCTCTTCTCTCTCTCTTCTCTTGCTCGCCCTATCTATTTTCTCTTGCTCGCCCTCTCTCTCTTCTCTTGATCACCCTCTCACTCTTCTCTTGATCACCCTTTCTCTCTTGTCTTGATCGCCCTCTCTCTATTCTCTTGATCGCCCTCTCTCTTCTCTTGATCACCCTCTCACTCTTCTATCACACTCTCTCTCTTGATCGCCCTCTCTCTTCTCTTGATCACCCTCTCACTCTTCTATCACCCTCTCTCTCTTCTCTTGATCACCCTCTCACTCTTCTATCACCCTCTCTCTCTTCTCTTGATCACCCTCTCTCTCTTCTCTTGATTGCCCTCTCTCTCTCCTCTTGATCACCATCTCTCTCTTCTCTTGATCGCCCTCTCTCTATTCTCTTGATCGCCCTCTCTCTTTTCTCTTGATCACCCTCTCTCTCTTCTCTTGATCACCCTCTTGATCTTGAAATGGCATATGATGACGCCCCATAATTTGCGTAGAGCTGTTGAGGGCAGGACTATTAACCATTATCTGAAGTCTGCTGCTCTGAGCATGTCAGTTGGAGTTATGAAATCATCGTGTTCCATGACACAGGTGTTTATATTTGAGCTAACGAGGTGTCCAGAGATCAAAGGTTTCCATTGTTCTGAATGAGAGATAAACCTGTTACGTGTGAACGTTTTGTTGAAGAACCGTAACAGATATCGGTGAAATTTCAAAGCGTGAAGCATCTCAAGGAACTTGAGTATCTGAAGTGTACTTTTTGTGTACTTTCGGGTGAAAGCCTGAAATTACAATGGGCTTTAATGGAGACATGTTGAAAGTGTTTGTCACTTCATGCCCTCAAGAGGCATTTTGTTTAATTATTTTTTGCCTAATTATTTGTCATTTTTCAAGCTACGAGATGTTTTCCTATGTTTGTCATGAAAAATGATCTGTCAGGAATGTAGGGTATGGGAATTATGGCAGTTTAAAAAAAATATATGAAGGCAAATCTCAAGATTTCCTACACTCTAGCTGTGACATCACGCACTCTAGTTAATGTTAAAATCTGCAGAAAGCCTCTTTAACAAGGTCTGAACAATGTTTAATATCTCTAAAAGTAAGAATCGGATTTAAAAGTTATGTTACACGAATAATCTCAGAAATATGTGTAACATTTTAAAGTTGGAATGAGGTTTCTGAGTGAAAGTATGAATGAACAGTTAGCAATTGAAGTCGCATGAAGATTGTTCAAGTCTGAAGATTTTCTCCATTGACTTCAATGGTTAAAAATGTGATGTATTATTGGATGTATCTCTGGAATTATGAAAGTTATGAATGAGAAAAGTAATAGCACTCGATTCCCGACCGAGCTGAACGTTTTGATGTTTGAACAGTTAACAGCATTCCAACTAAATTATAGGAACACTGGTTGAAACAACCCTGCAGGTTAGAAACCGTAAAGCATCTGATGGAGTTTTCTTTGGTGCTTTTCCATCAAAAATAATTAAGAACAAACTTAGGGAGCTAATGGTGAATGATGCCTTTTGTTTTTAAACTGATTATAGCCATTTTTGTTGCTTATTAAGTCATGAATATACATATATACATATGATACAACGTATTTTTTGATGGCCAACCAAGAAGTAAAAATAAATAGAGTACTTGGATTGGATTTCGGGAAAAACACAAGTTCATGCTTACACGTTTTGTTCAGCAGGATAATATCCACATATTAACACTGATTTATGATTTTGAAGCGTAAATGCAATCGCCAGAATCAAAAAGGTAACGTTAGGCCATAAACAAATACCTTTGCTCTCTTTGGAGGTGCAGCAGCCCCCCTCAGGTCCTCCACACTTCTCCCTGAGGGACGACACCTCCCTCTCCAGCCTCTCCAGACGCTCTCGCAGGGCAGCAAAGTCCGCCTCACAACCACAAGACCCAGATCCCGACCCAAAACCGGACGGAATCAGTTTGATCTTATGGGTCAGAACCAGAGAGGAACCAGCAGTCAGGTCTATTTCTTTACCTGAGAGTGGAACAGGTTGGATTAAAATTGGGAGAAGGTTGAAACTGAACTTTGAGATTAGCAATGATGAAGTCGGAAGAAAGTGACATTGGTTGAGGATAGTTTTCCTTAGATAAACAGTACTGTTCTGCAGGGTTTTACCTCCCTCGCTGGCATCAGATGAATCTCCCTGAGTGACGCAGCCCTCGGAGATCACCACCTGTAACAAAGATTACATGAAGGATCAGCTGTTTGTTTGTGTTAGGTTTGCAACATCCTACTTATGGGGCTAAATTAAATATCAAAGGTTGGGTTCAAGCCCAGCTCCAGCAGTCAACTTTTCAATGTTTTCTTGGGCAAGAGTGTTAGTCTCCCTGAGTAAGAGACACCTTAAATGGCAGGATTGGCAGCCCTCTGTGTATGTGTGTGACTGGGTGAAAGACTGGAAAAATGCTATATAAATGCAATCCATTTCCCATTGACTACAAACGGACCAATATTTGGCAATGCATTTAATTATGAAGTGAGGTCAATGACGTTAGTTAGTTGAGCCAGTATGCATCAGGATGAACAGAGAATTATAGGAACTGGATAAAGTTGTGACACAACCAACCATTCTCGTTCTGTAAACTCAGGTATATTTTTCCATGGATTATATACCAAAAATCAGGGACATGCCCAGGAGGTCAAAGGGCCCATGGGGCTATATGTCAGAGTTTCAAAGTGTTTACCATCACTAATAAATATTTTGTATGTGATCCGAAGCGTTAAAGCACTACATAGAGTCCTGAAACCTGATTGAGAATCAGAATAATTTATGTCAAGGGAATTCATTTTTAGTTCCAATTAAGAAATCAAATCACAAGCAATAAAAAGAGAAAATAAAATGATTATACATTTAAATAAACAGAAGAAGATAAATTCCCAAACCGATCAAATTAAATTAAATAAAAATAAAAATACATGTATGAACACAAAAAGTGAAAGCAAATTTCAACATAATATATATTTTGTTGGCAAAGATCTGAATATGTCTTTCTGTGTCTTTGGATGATGATATAATTGAAGTTCAGGAAACTTCTCTAAATGCATCTCTTGCCATGAGGAGCAGGTTCTGTAAAGCCTGGACTAATGTGGATATAAACGGTCACAACATAAAGATGGATATTATCTCTTGAATGTGTCAATCAATCAACAAATGTCAAGATCTGTCTGGCTTGTGTTTTGACTATGTCTTCGGTGAGTGTTCTGTTCTGTCTTTTTTAATAGTTTAGCCTTGAAATAAAGGAGTTATTTTTGACACTTTAATCTGCATTTGGGTCCTGCTTCCTACACACACCGTAACATTACGAACCGACCTGAGATATGGGCCCAGCAGATCCGTTTGAGCAGGAACTATTGGATTATACCTTTTCTTTGTCTGACTGCGCTCATCGATGGATAGGAGCGGTCAGGGTTCAACAGTGAGATGCTGCTCTGGCAGAAGCATTCAACCTTACAATGAAGAATCAAGATTTGGTTAAATTCTTCTTTTGGATTACCTCACGGTTTGTTTTCCTGATCCTGATAGACCCAGGTCTCCCAATTCCCTTTTTGATACCACACGCATCGGTGTGGTCCGTCTGGCGTCAGCCCCTGCTTCTCACCCAGTGTTTGCTACAGTCCAGGAGCCATTCGCTGGTACTCGTCTGGCTTTTGGAGGTCCACAGAGCCTCCAAACGGCTCCTAAAAGAAGGAGTCGCAAGGCCAGGTTAGCAGCACGAGCCCAAAGTGCCATGGTTCCAGCCCCAGTTCTGGCCCCAGCAGCCATGGTTCCAGCCCCAGTTCTGGCCCCAGCAGCTATGGTTCCGGCCCCAGTTCTGGCCCCAGTAGCCATGGTTCCAGCCCCAGTTCTGGCCCCAGCTGCCATGGTTCCAGCCCCAGTTCTGGCTCCAGCAGCCATGGTTCCAGCCCCAGCAGCCATGGTTCCAGCCCCATTTCTGGCCCCAGCAGCTATGGTTCCGGCCCCAGTAGCCATGGTTCCAGCCCCAGTTCTGGCCCCAGCAGCCATGGTTCCAGCCCCAGCTGCCATGGTTCCAGCCCCAGTTCTGGCTCCAGCAGCCATGGTTCCGGCCCCAGTTCTGGCCCCAGCAGCTATGGTTCCAGACCCAGTTCTGGCCCCAGCAGCCTTGGTTCCGGCCCCAGTTCTGGCCCCAGCAGCCATGGTTCCAGCCCCAGTGCTGGCCCCAGCAGCCATGGTTCCGGCCCCTGTTCTGGCCCCAGTTGCCATGGTTCCAGCCAAAGTTCTGGCCCCAGCAGCCATGGTTCCAGCCCCTGATCTGGCTCCAGCAGCTATGGTTCCGGCCCCAGTTCCGGCCTCGGCAGCCATGGTTCCGGCTTCAATTCCGGCTCCAAAGCCGGCCCACACAGCCATGATCCAGGCTTCAGCTCCAGACCTTACAGCCATGTTTCCGGCTCCAGAACTGGATCTTACAGCCATGGTTCCGGCTCAAGTACCGACCCCAGCAGTCATGGTCCCGACTCCGGCTCCTCGTCACCTGTTGACTCATCGGCCGAAGCCAGATCCCCGAGTCCTGTCGGCATACCGGCCGACTCCAGCACCTTGTCTCCTGCTGGCTCTCCAGCCGACGCCAGCTCCCTGTGTCCTGTCGGTGTACCGGCCGACTCCAGCACCTCGTCTCTTGTTGGCTCTCCAGCCAACACCAGCTCCCCGTGTCCTGTCGCGTACCGACCGACACAAGTTCCCTCTCAAGTCCCCTCTCAAGTCGCCTCTCACGTTCCTACCCGAGTCCCCTCTCAAGTTCCTACCCGAGTCCCCTCTCAAGTTCCTACCCGAGTCCCCTCTCAAGTTTCCTCTCAAATCCCCTCTCGAGTTCCCTCTCGAGGCCCCTCTCAAGTTCCCTCTCGAGTCTCCTCTCGAGTCTCCTCTCGAGTTCCCTCTCAAGTTCCCTCTCGAGTCTCCTATCGAGTCCCCTCTCAAGTCACCTCTCAAGTTCCCTCTCAAGTCCCCTCTCGAGTCTCCTCTCGAGTTCCCTCTCAAGTCACCTCTCGAGTTTCCTCTCAAGTCCCCTCTCGAGTCTCCTCTCGAGTTCCCTCTCGAAATTCCTCTCAAGTCACCTCTCAAGTCAACTCTCAAGTTTCCTCTCGAGTCCCCTCTCAAGTCACCTCTCGAGTCACCTCTCAAGTCTCCTCTCGAGTTCCCTCTCAAGTCACCTCTCGAGTTCCCTCTCTAGTCCCCTCTCGAGTCTCCTCTCGAGTTCCCTCTCAAGCCCTCTCTCGAGTCCCCTCTCGAGTTCCCTCTCAAGCCCTCTCTCGAGTCCCCTCTCAAGCCCTCTCTCTCGAGTCCCTTATCGGGTCCCCTCTCAAGTCACCTCTCAAGTCTTCGTTCAAGTTCCCTCTCGAGATTCCTTTCAAGTCACCTCTCAAGTCAACTCTCAAGTTTCCTCTCGAGTTCCCTCTCAAGCCCTCTCTCGAGTTCCCACTCAAGTCCCTACTCATGTGCCGTTGGAGGTCCCGCAGACTACTCTTCTGCCGGGGGTCCTGCCAACCCCATGTCCTGAGCCGTTGGAGGTCCCGCAGACTGCTCTTCTGCCGGGGGTCCTGACAACCCTATGTCCTGTACCGTTGGAGGTTCCGCTGGGGATCCTGCCAACCCTTTGTCCTGTCCCGTTGGGGGTCCCGCCGACTACTCTCCTGCCGGGGGTCCTGCCAACCCTATGTCCTGTCCCGTTGGGGGTCCCGCCGACTACTCTCCTGCCGGGGGTCCTGCCAACCCTATGTCCTGTCCTGTTGGGGGTCCCGCCGACTACTCTCCTGCCGGGGGTCCTGCCAACCCTATGTCCTGTCCCGTTGGGGGCCCCGCCGACTACTCTTCTGCCGGGGGTCCTGCCAACCCCATATCCTGTGCCGTTGGAGGTCCCGCAGACTGCTCTTCTGCCCGGGGGTCCTGCCAACCCTATGTCCTGTACCGTTGGAGGTTCCGCTGGGGGTCCTGCCAACCCTTTGTCCTGTCCCGTTGGGGGTCCCGCCGACTACTCTCCTGTCGGGGGTCCTGCCAACCCTATGTCCTGTGCTGTTGGAGGCCCCGCCGACTACTCTTCTGCGGGGGGTCCTGCAAACCCTAAGTACTGTGTCGTTGGAGGCCCCGCCGACTACTCCCCTGCCGGGGGTCCTGCCAACCCTGTGTCTTGTCCCGTTGGAGGCCCCGCCGACTACTCTTCTGCCGGGGGTCCTGCCAACCCTAAGTCCTGTGCCGTTGGAGGCCCGCCGACTACTCTCCTGCCGGGGGTCCTGCCAACCCTGTGTCCTGTCCCGTTGGAGGCCGCGCCGACTACTCTTCTGCCGGGGGTCCTGTCAATACATTGTCCAGTCCAGTTGGAGGCCCCGCCATCACCTGTCCTGCCGGGAGTACTGCCAACCCCTTGTCCAGTTCCGTTGGAGGCCCCGCCATCATCTGGCTCGCCGGGGGTGCTGCCAACTCCTGGTCCTCTTCCGTGGGGGATCCTGCCGAAGCCTGTCCCACCGGCTCCGGTTCCTGTTCGGCCGACACCGGGTCCTGCCCGGCCTCCGGAGCTGTTTGGCCTTCGCCCCACCCTGAACTCTGCCTTGTCGCCGGGCCGTCCGCCTGAGTCCCCCTTTTTGAACTCTGCCTTGCCCCCGGGCCGTCCGCCCGAGACCCCTTCCTTGAACTCTGCTTTGCCCCCTGGCCGTTCGCCCGAGACCCCTTCCTTGAACTCTGCCTTGCCCCCGGGCCGTCCGCCCGAGACCCCATCCTAGATCTCTACCTTGCCCCCGGGCCGTCCGCCCGAGCCCCCTTCCGGGTCCTCCGCTGTCAGCCCAAGCCCGTCCTCCAGACCCCCTCCACCCACCCTGTTGGCCTTAGTTGTGTGTCCCTCCTCCGGTCCCCCTCCACCCACCCTGCTGGATTTTTTTTTTTGGGGACGTCTGGGATCCGTCCCTTGAGGGGGGGTTCTGTCAAGATCTGTCTGGCTTGTGTTTTGACTATGTCTTCGGTGAGTGTTCTGTTCTGTCTTTTTGAATAGTTTAGCCTTGAAATAAAGGAGTTATTTTTGACACTTTAATCTGCATTTGGGTCCTGCTTCCTACACACACCGTAACAAAAAACATGTCAATCAACTGACCTTGAAGGAGTCCTGCTTGTTGTCCCTCGGAATCCATTGACCTCTGACCTCTAGCTCACGAGGGGGCGATGGGGTCAGGAGGGTGGGAGCAGCCCGGGGGAGGAGGAGGAGGAGGAGGAGGGAGGGGATGAAGGAAAACATGGCTGGGGTCAGGAAAACCTCCCTAAGGGTGAATTAGAGGAAAGGTTCCGGACTGTTCTGAAGCAGTTTGTTAATCTGTAGCTCTTGGAGTGGAGGTGAAAGAGATCTCTGTCAGCTGCTGTCACTTCAGTCAGATCCAGAGAGCTGAGGACATTCAGCGGACACTTTCCCTCTGTACGGCAGGGACTCTCTCCCTCTGGAACAAAGACAGAAACACACATTTAATCCACTGTACATTTCCAATCCCTTTTGGTCACAATTAGCACAAATGGGGCCATTAGCTGTTCACAGGCTTCACTGTCACTGTAGCGTGTCGGCCAACGGAAAAAGTAGCTTGTTCTGAATGAGTAATCTGTTAGAATGCAGACAGTTGCTGATGGATCACGCAGCAGACTATTAGTCAAACTGTTATATGTTAATTTATTTAATGGATTAAGTATTTCCACGAAATGGATGCTAATGTCTCACTGTTTTTAGTTACTTTACTTGTTGACTGTGATTTCTGAATCTCAAATAGTTAAAATAAGTTCATTAATACATCTTAATTCCCTTATAGTCAACATTTGTTATCTTTTATTGTCAAAACTTTGAGGTCACTAAGAAATAATGGAGCTATTTTATATGAAAAGGCTTAATTTATTATACCAGGTGTACTGCTCATGTTACTCTAACCCTAACCCTAATCCTTACCCACACTAATGAAGCTTAGCGCAAGTTCAGACAGGAAGACCTATCACTCCGTATTGCACGTCATGGCAATACTCGCTCCCTGCACTAAATGACAGGGAGCGCCACTCCTCAGCTAACCTATCACTCCCCTCCATTTACAAGCCTAATTATCGCACCTGTTAATCCCTCTATATATGCTCTCCCCCTTCCTATCAGCTGTCTTCCAGGTGTCAACGCGCAATCAGCAGCAGGGCTTCGTCCCAGCTCCAGGCATTATACATCAGCTCCGCAGTCTTGCGGATTAAGCTACAGGCGGCGTCCCCCAGTCGGCTAGCGGTTCCAGCCGGCCGCCCCGCAAACCCGGACGCGGGAGGAAAAGACAAGGAAATCGGGCTCCACGGAAGTTCCTCCGGCTAATGGAAATGGGCTACTTCACGCAAACAATTGACGCACGCCTTCAGTCTCTCAAGAGGGCATCACTGGCATCAGGGCCGCTCAAATGCGGCGCTTCCGGCTTCACGCGGAACGGGTCCTCATCGCATGCGAAGCTTTACCCAGTGGCGGCCGGCCTATAGGGGCGCTAGGGGCGCCGCCCCACCTCTTCCCACATTAAAATTTAAAAAAAAAAATATATATTAAATTAAAAAAAATATATTAAAAAAATATATATATTTTATATTTTTATTTTTAATGAACAAGGTAAATATCATACAATTGGTATCAGTAAAATGTATAATCTACAATAAAATCTCGTTTAAAATTGTGTTACGATGTCTAAAGTTACTGATAAGTCACATGTTTCCTGCCTGGCCTTGCCCATGGCATTAGTTTATCATTACCGGGCGCCGTGCAAGGAGCCCCCGAGCCAAACAGCAGCAACCAGCACGTTGCAAAAGTCTCAATAGTAAACTGTGCCGCCGAAACATAATTTCAGCCAATCAGCGCCGTCAAATATTTTGCTCACGAGGGCGCTCACGTTGGCGCCCACGTTGCTTACGTGCGTTGACGTGAGTTGTTTTTTAGACTCGTGAGTGACCAAGGTGACGCAGTATTTAGAATGGTGTGCAGGTGGAGTCGTCGGACCTCGGTACGCACCCAATTCCGTGCAAGAGCTACTCTCCAATCCTTTCCAAAGGAGAAGTTTGGGAGATAAATTGATACTTAAAGACCTTGGACCGGACCAACCCGATTTGTATATATCACAGCAAGCTCGTGAAAAAGACAAAACGTATCAACGAGGCTAGCTGGATGCAAACGATGCAAACAGGTAAATGCTATCTTTTGTTTCCCATGCTTGCTCTTCAAACAGCCGGGGACAGGCAGATCTGTTCAGAAACTAGACAAAAGTTAAACAAGTACAAACCACAGACTGTCTGTGTCATGGAGAATACAGTCGCTGGTTTATTTATGTCTGTATAGGCCGTTGTTGTGAGTGTGGACGGTCGGAGCATATATAACGTTAGCTTAGCCAAGCTCCATTCAGAAAACAAGCATTCTAAAAGGTTTTTCGCCTGCCGTCTGTCTGCAGACTTGTCAAAGCATTAATTCATGGTTTTTACTAACCGGTATCAGTATGTTGTTACGTCGGCATCATTTAGAAACGTGTATTACAATTTAATCACGGTAAGATATGTTCATTTTGTTGTAGTTGTAGCTCCCGAGCCAGCGCGTCTTGTTTGAATGATGCGAGTAAACACAGCTTGCAGCCGCGGTGAAACTCGAGCGACTTGAGCGATGCGATAGGAGCGTTTAGAGCGAAGCGAATATTCGCATCGCGTCCGGTCTGAACGCAGCATTAAAGCGAGCTCCGCGCTGCACTGGAAACGCGCCATTACATCACCAGAAGTCCTAATTTAAGGGGTCATTTCTCCCAAAAAAAAATGTTTTACTCACTATATCAAAAGCCCCACCAAAAATATTTCCCACCAGCCGCCACTGGCTTTACCCATTCTGGCTTCAACCACAACCCCTCCTGCAGGCAGGCTGAGGCCGGGCATAAGCTACATTCCATTGAAGCTACTTCCTCCTGCGCCTCACCTCTAAAACAGGCGTCAGGGTAGCGCTGGCAAGAGGCAGTTGCAACAAATTCACGATATGTTTCGTATATTGTTATGACATTTGGGTCATGCAGAGTGAGATCGCTACCCTTTTAAGAGAGGGGTGTGGCGCGTGCATGTGTGCGCGGGCATGGTATGGTAGACCGAGCGGGATACATGTTTTCTAGAAATAACGAGGCAGCAGAAAAAGGAAGGTCTGTGATCTTGCGAATCTATCTTGCGAAACAGAAGAGCTAAATAAATGCAACGGCCTCCCAAGAAGAGCTCGTCTCTCTCCAGTCTTTCCGATAAAATGGGTTATTGAACCCGAAGCGTGTTGCTTCTGCCCTGGGAGACGACAGAGAGCCATCCCCCCCGTTTCCTCGACTACAGTCTGGGAGCCGACAGGAAGTTCAACACTATGCATTGCTACCTTTAGTTCAGGGTTAAGGTGAGTCCCAGCAGGCAGTGTTGGGTGTAACGTGTTACAGTATGGAGTTCAGTAACGTATTACTTGCATTACTAATGCAGTTCGGGTAATTACTACCCATTACAATGCTCAGTAACTAACGCAGTTTCAAGCTTCAACACAGTGTTACCTGAAATAAATGGCGTTTCGTAGGGCTTCTTTTCCTCAATGACCAAGTCGCTGCACATTATGCTGTTTATGACACGACCAGATACTAAATACATTAGGAATTCACTCCCAATATTAATTGAATGATTATTGACTGAATGATCGTATTTTTCTCTTTTTCTTCTCCACTAAGAAATATTCCGTTTCTCGTTGCACCAACGGCTGGATCTGCGACAACAACATCTCCTCGGCAGTAGGGGTGCAACAACTAATCGACTTAATCGATTACCAAATTAGTTGGCAACTAATTCAGTCGTCGATTCATTGGTGACGTCATCACGTGTGTTTTACGCGCCGTTAAGTTCCAACGTATTGGTCTTTTATCGGTACCGGAGACATTTATAAAATATATGTCATGTATTATTGCTAAAAAACATTATATCGCAGTCTTAGTGTCGCCAACTCGTTTCTAAATATGCAAAAGACAACAAATGCGTCTTTGATGTATTTTCGATCAGACGAGATCTCTCTCCCCCGTCTGTGTGCGAGGGGGCGGGGCAGTTTACACACACGCAGCTGCTACATGCAGCAACACACTGCGGAGATGGCGGAGAGAACGCGCTCCGAGGTGTGGTTAAACTTTACCCGTCTCAATGTGGACAATGCTCGTTGCCAAAAGTGCAATAAGAGTTTAGCATGTAAGGGCGGGAACACGAGCAATTTGTCTAAACATTTAGCAAAAATGCACCATCCAGACGGAGGAATGTACCGGGTTCGACCATCTTTCTAGCAGCTCTGTAGCCCCATCCACGAGTAACGTTTCCACGTCAGGTGTTATGTATGCTAGCAGCACCACACGGAGTTAACTACATGATACAAACATGGATTAATGATTAGAGGTAACTGAGTTATTTAGTTTGTTAAAATTTCAGCTATTCTGTTTACAGTCTGTCGACAGATTACTTAATACGATTTGTTAAATGCTCAGGGCAATCTCGATGACAAAGGTCAATGTTCCCCCCTTTCTACGCACGGAGATAATGTAATCTTAATAGTGTGCAGGCCAAGGCTGGCTCTTCAATGCAGATATTAACGACGCGCTTTAAAGTTCATATCATCATTCAGCGGAACTCTTTCAGCCAGTCAAGTAAGGAGAAACTACGTGTGCACCGGCTATTCGGGTAAATAATATTAATAGCTGTCTCTCCCCAGTTCAAATCACCCACTGCTCAGGGAAATCTCCTCATGCATTGCCTTTACGCATCTAGTGTTCGAATACAACATTACTAACCTATAACTCCGCTCAACTGGGAAAAGAGAAGAAGAAGAAGAAGAAAGAAGAAGAAGAAGAAGAGAATCCTCCAGGAGCACAGCGTTCCTAATCATGAGGAACTATAGGCCCAGTCACACACCTGGAGTTCCTAGGCATCACATCAAGCTCATGGTATTAACGTTCCTCTAACCAAACTGCGTGCATCCACATAAACGTCTTCAACGACAGTTGCTCTTCCTCATCGGGCAACCGTACTTTGCATGTGGATATTCTTCGGCACGCCATCATCTCCCGTTTCCTGGACGTGGCATCCGCCGGCCTCACGACGACCGCGTTTTCCCCGACTTAAGGACGTGCACCGCACATCCTCCGTTTTGGGGGGGACATCTGCATGAGATCATCCGCATAGCGGCACACTCAGATTTCCACTATTGCTACACATCTATTATCACACTCGCTGGATCTAACACTAGCGTCCCTCAGAAAAGAAGTCAATCGAGACGTCAGCTTTTCTGACATATCCTTTCACGCCAGCCATTTTAGCTTATATCTTAAGCACTCCAAATGCGGCGGCGCCTGCTCCGTCATCGCCGCCCGCATCGACTCCCAGTTCTGCCCTTATAAATCCATGATCAAATTCC